ATGCTAATAAGACCAGACAGCCAAACAACCTTCCGGATGACCTTCTGGATAAAGCTGGGACTGTGATCACTGAGACATGCCGTCATGGGGGCTGCAAGGGCCGAGCCCATTGCAAAAATTTTGTGCATTGGACCTCTTGTAAATAAATAAAAAGGAAGTATTGCATATAGGAAAAAACACAAATGATAGCTGAAGCCTCATCAGAAAACATGGAGACTGGAAAGCAATAGAGAATCACCTTTGTGATGGGAACAAACTGTCAATTCTGAAGCCTAAATTTAGTAAAAAAATATATATATCTTAAAAAATAAAAGACATTTTTAAATAAGTGTAAGAGAAAGAAACATCGATGTGAGAGAGACACACCAATTGTTTGCCTTTCTTCCATCCCCTGACCTGGGTCAAGACTGAGCCTGCAATGGATTTATGTGCCTTTGATAAAAATTGATCCTGCCACCGAAACCGGTTTGGCTCAGTGGTAGAGCGTCGGTCTGCGGATTGAAAGGTCCCAGGTTCGATTCCGGTCAAGGGCATGTGCATTGGTTGTGGGCACATCCCTGGTGGGGGGTGTGCAAGAGGCAGCTGGTCAATGTTTCTCTCTCATCAACATTTCTAGCTCTCTATCTCTCTCCCTTCCTCTCAGTAAAATATCAATAAAATATATTTTTTTAAAAATTGATCCTGCCACTTTTCAATCCACAGGCCAACACTCTAACTACTGAACCAAAATGGCTAGGGCTAACCATTTTTTGATTGGGCTTTTTGATTTCTTCCTTGATTCTGCAGAACTATGCTATGAGGTGAATATTGTCGTGCATATAGCTTGTTGCATACTTTAGATTATTTCTTTAGTTTTGATTCACAAAACTGGGATTAATAGGCAAAATATATTTGTGTGGGAACAGGGAGCTGGCAAGGAGATGTATGTGTGGGTTGTTGACCCGTATTTTTCAATGTCCCTAACAGTGCCTAAGAATTACAATAGCAGTCTGATTCCAGTACATCTCTGTCAGCACTGGAAATCACTGTGACATTGTTTTTATGGGAAAATAATGATTCATTATTTTAGTTTACATTGGTTTCAACTATTTAAAGGTCAAAAGGTTTCCTCATTTTTAATATCTCTATTTTTTAATGAATTGTTTATTCATCCATTGCTGATTTATTTATGGGAAAATAAGTGTTACTAATTTTTATGTTTTTAACCTAATAAAGAAATCATATCTACTGAAAATATTTTTCCAGACTCCAGTTTTAACTTTCTATTTTTTGCTAATTTTGTTTATCTGCAGAAGCCCTAACTTTTCTTTGAGGAATATTTTATCACTTTGAAGTTAGAAAAGGAATTTCCCTTCTATAATTTTGATAAATATTTAATCATATTTTGTTTAGACTTCCATTTAATATTTAATATTTAATATTTAAAATATTAAATATTTAAAATATTAAATATTAATATTTAATATTACACATAATTTGTTTTGATATACAACATAATAGCATATAAAATAACATTCCTAAAATTGTTGTTCAGTCACTCAAATATGTATAGAATACTCATTTCTTTCTCTATTAATTTTCTAAGCTCACCTGATCATCTCTTAAAGTCTTCATTATAATGCTGCCTACTTATGGGATATTTGTTTCCATAGACAGATCTAGTTATCTATTTCAATGTAATTACAGAGGTCCACCTTCAAAACTTTAAGTTTGCTGTTTCTGATAAATGAAGGCAACATTTAGGAAGTTAGGAAGTTCATTCTTATACCTCTATTTTTTTTCTAATATCTTAATAATTTTAGTATTACACCTAGATTCTCCCTAAAAGTTAAAAGTGCCTCCCTGGTTTATCATTTCCAAAGTGTCCTGCTCAGTGTTTATTTATTAGAGGAAATGACCCTCTAATCCCTTCTCTCTCCTTTTTCTCAATGATACAGCTCTCTTTTGTTTGGAATTCAAAGCAAAATTGCCTGAAAGCACTCTGACCCATCATAGGATAGGCATTAATTAGATTTAGGAAAGGCAACCTTAGTAACTCATTTTTAACCCAGAAATTAAACTTCTGAGTGGAGAAAACTATTTTTAACCTAAATAAATTAATTTTGAAGAGATTTTCAAATGGAGAAGGGAAAAATTGTTCCCTATTCCATCCCACTAACTCCTAACTCCTCAGGTCTCATCTCCAATGTCACTTCCTTAGAAAGTAACTGGTTCACATGTTGTAAAGCCTCTCAGCCCAGTGCTCCCTTTCTTCAGAGCATCCATCATAGTTTTTAATGTCTTTATCTGTCTCATGACTTAATTAATGTCTATTTATTTCACTATCAACAATAATAGTCAATATTTATTGAGTGTTTACTCTGATTCCAGACATTGCATTCATCTCCAGACCTGTCCTATCCAATGGAAGGTTGCGTGATGACAGACACGTTCTCAATATGTGCTGTCTAATATGATGGCCACCAGCCACATGAGGCTATTAAGCAGTTGAAATGTGGCTAGATGACTGAGAAATTGAATTTTAATTTATTTAATTTTAATTAAGTTACGTAGCTACGTGTAACTACTGACTACTGTATTAGACAATGACAAATTAGGCAATATGCCAAAACCAATTTGGCTCAGTGGATAGAGCATTGGCCTGCGGACTGAAAGGTCTTAGGTTCAATTCCGGTCAAGGGCATGTACCTTGGTTGCGGGTACATCCCCAGTGGCAGTTGTGCAAGAGGCAGCTGATTGATGTTTCTCTCTCATTGATGTTTCTAACTCTCTATCCCTCTCTCTTCCTCTCTCTGAAAAAATCAATAAAATATATTTTTTTAAAGAAATTAGGCAATAGTTTCCAGGAATGATCATATCTGTATTTGTTTATAATTCTAGCCCTGCTATTAGCACAATACCCATGCAAATTATATCTATTGACTTAAATGAATAACCCAGAGGAGGGTAGGTAAGTAAAAACGGTGCCCTGAAAACACCAAATTATAAAGAATGCTCACCTCCAGCACAATATCTGGAGGCTGTTTTACATAAATTTTATTTTTAAAAGAACACAAACTAAATACAATAAAAATAAGTATTTGGGATAAATTTGGTAAACTTAAACACATATATTCTTGCAACTCATATTTAATAAGAAGAGGAAAGGAAAACAGCATGAATTAGTAACTTCTAGGAATCAGCACTTACCTGACAAAAATGAGTTTAATGCAAAATATGATACATTTCTTGAATACATTCTTATCATGAGCCAAAAAAATCCTAGTAGTTGTTTATAAGGCAGTGAATGACAAGCTCATTCATGCTCTTTGCCCCAGAAACACGTTTTTTTCTGCCTATTCCTGAATGCATTTTTCTTATTGGAAGCACCTGTCTGAGCCATATTTATGTGTTTTTCTCTCTCTATCTGCTATACATTTTTGTTGTCATTTCTCAGAACAATAATCTAACAGATTAAGAGAATAAGGGGACTCAATCTATTTGGTAATTAAATGTCAGAATGTATTTCCCTATTGGTCATTAATGCTTAAGTTTCTAGATATGAACTGTTAAATGCACTCATATTAAATATATATATATATATATTCACACACACACACACACACACATATATATATATATATATATATATATATATATTCACACACACACACACACACACACATATATATATATATATATATATATATATATATATATATATATACTGCCGATACCAGTTTGGCTCGGTGGATAGAGCGTTGGTCTGAGGACTGAAAGGTCCCAGGTTCAATTCTTGTCAAGGGCATGTACATTGGTTGTGGGCACATCCCCAGTGGGGGGTGTGCAGGAGGCAACTGGTCAATGATTCTCTCTCATTGATGTCTCTAGCTATCTATCCCTCTCCCTTCTTCTCTGTGAAAAATCAATAAAATATATATTTAAAAAATAAATAAACTGCATTGCATATATATTATTAGTAACTGTTTAGCAGTAGTAACTTTCAAATTTGACAATGTACCTTCAGAAAACAGCATTAAATGTTCACTCAGAAAGCTCTGCTTGATTGACAAATTGTGTGACTGAAAGAGCTAGAAATTTGGGGTTAAAATAGACAATAATTTCTCCAGACTTAACGTATTTTACATTTCTTTGTCCTGTGACATTAGGCCAGGCTAGAGAGAATTTGTACTAAGTGAATCTTAATTAAATTGCTCTATGAAAAATTATTTTTAAATGGAAATAGTCACTTAAACAACCAGAGTGGTTGTAGATATCTGACTGTGCTACGCCAAGAAAAATCAGACATCTTTGCTTTCTTGTTACTATTAAGCCTTCCATATTTTTTACTTAGTCTTAGTGTTCATTCCAAAATTTTGACTACGAAGATCAATGACTTCTAAATCAAATGTCCTCTGCATGTTTGCTCCTACAGAAGAAACACAATGCTCTCTTTCCTTATGATAAGAAGGGAAATCTTTGTAAGGATTTTTGTCCAGCTGTAGGAATAAAACATGGTAAATAACAGATCTTAAAATAACAGCTCAGTGTAACTAATCACCACAAACCAAGAAATATGCCCATTTTGCCTTATTGATTTTCACTTTGGAAAATGCAATATATCTACTTTGTTGATACATCTTACAAACCTCATAAAAGGATCAGAAAAAAAATCAGTAAAATAATGTGTTCTAGTATGAAAGAAGTAACATGAGGTTTGGTGTTGTAGGGTTTGGTTTTGTTTGTTTTTGTTTTTAAGTGTGTGTGCAGTTAGATACTTTAGGACAATTTACGTAGGTGGTTTCTGTTCTGGTTGTTCTTTCTGTGCCTCCTGCTCCATGACCGTATATCCTTGAAGGATGCACACTATCTTCAGCCTTGGAACTAACAAAGCTGATTCCACCTCTCCTGGAAGAGTAAATAGGAAATGGAATACTCCCCTTGGCCAGGCTATGCCATTCCTATCCTTGAGCTTGGGGCGCAGCTGGCCAGGAGCTCCCTGCCGGGGGGAACGGCCTTACCTTGCACTGGCAGAGAGTGCACTCCGTGCCATGTTTGATCCAAGAGGAGCCAGTGAAGCGCACCACATTCACCTCGTCCAGGCAGGTTTTGGTGATGTCATTGCGAATGGTGTCGGCCTGGCAAGGGTCGGTGACACAGCGCGGGCAGCACTCACCCTCTGGGAGCACGCTGAATTCACATTCCACCTCGGGGCAAGGCAGGGGCCAGCAATCCACTTCCCCTTGCTGCAAGGAAAGCAGAGATGCCAGGGCAGAGGGGCAGGGGCAGCGGGCAGGGGAGGAGGCAGGAGGGAGGGAGGCAGCATGGTGTTTACTGAACACGCAATTGACCTGAGGACATGTATGCTCCGACCTCCCTGGCCCAGCATCGTGCACTCAGCGCGAGGAGGCCTGCCTGCAGCTGAATTTTAAACTGGCCTTCCTCCATCATATAAGAACAACAATAAAATAAAACCAAAACGCATTCTCTTCAAACAATCAAATTTGCATGCCCGTTTTTTCCCCATGAAAAAGGAGAACTATATATTATGGAAAAGGTTTTTATTAGATTTTTGGCTATGCCATCCTTTTTTAAAAAAATTTCTTTTGATATTTTCCCCCTCACTTCACATTTATTCCCTCCTGCATAAAAGAAAATGTTATTAATTTATGATAAAATAAACTAAAATATGTAAGAAATATGACAGTTTTTCTTGTTTGTTTATATCTTTCTCGGTATGGAAGGGCCTAATTAGGAACTGGTTTTAGTTGTTTTTATTCCACCTGGGAAAGTTGTATGAATTGGTTCTTTCTAAAATATAGTTCGTACCTGTTTCTTATTTTCTCCATAATTCTGAATCTCCTGGTTTTGGAGATGAAAGCAGCCTTCAGGCACAGAAGCTGACCTTGTTCTCTCAATTGATTTTTTTTGAGTTGAAAGTATAAAAAGAAAGCACTACCTTAAAAATATCCTCACATAAATAGAAAGAAAACAAGCCATAACTTATATGTAGCATCTGTGAAACTGTCTCCCATAAAGACACATAGACCAAAATTTCCTTTTTCATTTGCACCACTAGAAAGAAACAAGAAATTTGGTCAAATGGAAAAAAAAAAAAAAAAAGTAAGACTGGTGTTTTCTTTATCATGTCTAGATTTTCTTTTTGACCTATCATTTCCAGTAGAAGTTTCATAAATATATACAGACATTCAATTCTAACATTCAAATAAGTATTTATAATATACCCATATTATGTCTAAAACTGGGTGCCACCAAAATAGCATTGACAGTAACCATCTTTAGAAGGAATAAGTGTTTTTTGTTTATTTTTTAAGTCTCAGTATGACTGATAGAAATGGATTAACAAAAGTTCCACTTGGAAACAAATGATTTTTTTCATGAATGCCACTGTTGTATTCAAAACAAGTATTTAGTGAATGCATACTATATGCCATTTGGATCTGTTCTAGATGCTGGAGCCTGAGTAAGTCCGCCCTGAATGAGACCAAGGAAGCTGGGAGAGTCTTTTCCTCTTTTGAGCTCCAGATATTCTCCGGAAAGACATGGTGCACCATGTCTACCCCAGAGTTCCCTTCTCAGGTCCTGTCTGCATAGACATCTTCTTATCCTCCTAACCAGGCTCACTTGCTGTAATTGCAGCCACTAAGGCCAGGTGCTGCATACCAGTGTGTGGGGGAGGGCAAGGTTGCTTTCCTATTTAGAATCTGGGCCTAAACTCTTCCTGGACTTCTTGTGGTTAAACTCACCAAGCAGCGGCACTGTTGGCAATTCTGCACCCAGGTGTCTCCACTGTTGTACAGGGTTTCCCCGTTTTGATGGAGGCATTGACTGCTAAGCCTTGGGTCACATTCAGGGCAGCAAAAAAGATCAACCGTGGGATTCTCACAGTCACAGACCATCCGTCGACACATTACAAATCCATTCTGTATGGGAAGGTAGAAAAGCATTTATCAAAAGCCTCCATCTCCCAATATACTAACATATGTATATGCATGTCTGTGTACATACACACATATATACACACACAAAATATATTACATTTATATATTATATATACATATATAAATCTTAGATGTTGATTTGAAAGTTGAGATAATTTGCACTGTTTATCCAATATAATTGATTTTCTTTAAAGTTCCGTTTTGTAGCTAACACAGAAACTACTCATGCTGGAGACCTTTACATTTTCTTTCTACATACTATTTGAAGAAAATGAAATTTTCCAGAAATGTCCTGTATACAATAATAACCACCACATAACATGATCCTTATGTCTATATAAATGTGGGTATATGTGTGTATGTATATCTTATATAATAAAGAAGTAAATACAAATTAGACCAGGCATCCTTCCGGACAAAGCTGGAGCTGGAGAGAAGCCAGACCAGGTCCAGGTGCCAGAAGTAAGCCGATGCCAGCAGCCAGGAGAAGGAAGGCCTACTCTTGCACAAATTTTGTGCATTAGGCCTCTAGTATATACTGTATGTAAACATACATTTACTTGTTTAGGAGGATAGTAACTTGTATGCTAACTAAATTTTGTTTTGTGCTAGGCCATGTATATTTAATAGCTTGTCAACAAGTCTTACATATTATTAAGTTTATGGAATATTTTAGACCTTATGTTTTTGTACAAACTCTTTTCAACTTCTTTTATAATAGTTAAGCCCTTGGTACATAGTATTATTTATTTAACTGAAGTTTGAGTCTTCATTATTAACTGGTTACATGTAACAGAACATCTATCTAAAACTAAAATATATCCCAAATAGGTATTTTTCACCCCTAGGTCATAGCATGTCCATTTTGGGCTTCATTTATGCATTCATTCAAATATGGTGTGACTATGTAAACAATAGCATAGTTAGCAACAAAATTTCATTAATGTGTGACAGATACACACATTGTGGCATTTGCATACAATAGAATACTATTCAACAATAAAAAAGGAATAGTTTACTGATATATGTCATGAATACAAATGAATGTCAAAAACATAAAGCTGAGAGAAAGAAGCCAAACACAGAGGAGTATACACTATACTAGAGGTCTGGTGCACAAATTCATGTGCAGGTGGTTGGCTGGTTGGTTCTTCCCCCAATCAAGGTGGGAGGTTCTTCCAAGGGAGGAACTATAGGCAGTTGGCTGGTTGGCTCCATCCTCAATTGGGGTAGGGAGGCTATCGGGAGTGGAACCATGGGCAGTTGGCTGGCCAGTCCACCCCCAGGTTGAACTCCTGGTCAAGGAGACAATTTGCATATTAGCCTTTCATTATATAGGATGGTTCCATTCATATGAGGTGTTTGCTTGGGGCTAGGTATATGGGACTAACTAAGAAAGGACAGAGGTAACTGGGGAGATGAAAACATTCTATTAATACTAAGAGTGGCTATATAGACATATGAATTTTTCTAAGTTCATTAACCTGTAAACTTGGAATCTATGCACATTACACCTCAATAGAAATGATAAAAAAAATTTATTGATACTAACCTGACATGAGCACACAGAGCACCGGTCATTTTCCAACACCCAAATCTGACCGTTGTGCTTAATTTTTCCATCATGGATGCAGTCCCCTGTACAATTCTTTCCATGAGGACATCGGCAATCGTATCCACCATCCAAGTTAAAGCAAATGGTATCGTTGGTGCAGCTGTGCCTGCCGGTCCCACACTCATCGATATCTACGGCCAAGAAAAGGCAGCAGGCCCTGTGCTTAGAATATGCTCAGTGCCAACCGTGGCAGTCAGGCTAGTTGTGTTCTGACATGAAGCACACATTCATTTCCATCTTACTGGCATGCACGTCCTATTCAATGCTGACTAAAGCAGTGCTAATCAGTGAGGGATTTCACAGGAAACTATTGCACGCTTGATTTCAAACACCAAGTAACCTTGCTTACATTTTTACTTTTATATCTCTGTAAATAGGACTCACTTTATCACAGGTGGCAGTGAAATTCTAAATGTGCCTATGATTTTTCATTGAGGAAACCATTCTCAGTGTTTACATGGTACCTACAGAAAACCCTTTCTGAGTGGGAGATAAAATGTCAGGGAAAGCCTGAGGCATTTTATTCAATTTCAAGCCCTATTCACACAGCCATGTCTCCCACATATAAGCTCTTTTCAGCATTCTGCTTAGGTGTTCTTCCCTTACAATCTAGGAATTTCCACATTGTCCTTATCCTTTCTCTTTGCCCACAGAAGGGCAAGGCACCATCAACAATTACCATGTCTCTCACAAAGGATCCACCACTTGTTAACTTTTCCATTTCAGATGATCACTTCATCTCCTGCCTGACTCAATTGGCAACTGCCCCTTCTTCCCCCGACCTCACATAGTCCATGGCAATCACAGCCTAAGGCATTTTCATACAGCTAGAAAGAAAGCATCATGACCCAAAGATCAGGGTCATAGGAGAGACATGATTCCTTTGATTTATCCCCATAATTTAAAGGTCACAAGCCAAAATACATTTCAGGGATATAGTATGAGTGGCAGTAAGCAATTATTTCCCATTTCATCTGTTTCCTCTGAGAAAAGGTCCAGAAAAAAAGAATTAAATCATAACAGGGAAAGTGGCTTATAGAGAAGATGGAATGTATAGCTCTTAAGTAGGAGCTATTTTCCTTCAAATTTTTAAAAACTGTCTTTAGTAACTATCTTAAGTGGTTAGATTTCAATAATATTGGGGACATGGACTAGTCAATGTTATAGTTTAGCCATATTTAAAATCTTAAATACTTAAGTTCTGTTATATATGCATCCCTGAAAATAAGCCACATGGATATATTCTTCTCTGTTTAATTTTTTTATTAGCTCCCATCTCAAGAAAACTTATGAATTGAGACAATGGCTGAAATATTTTTTATTATAACTACAATGAACTATTATTATTATTAGAATGATTTGCCATGGATAATACTGCTTATATTATAGACTACTAGAAGTACGGTGCACAAAAATTTGTGCACTGGGATGGGGGGCCCTCCGCCCAGCATGACCCCTCTCACAGTCTGGGAGCCCTCAGGAAATGACCTACTGATGGCTTAGGCCCACTCCCCACAGTCAGGCTAAGCAGAGGAAGGTGCCACTCCCATCACCCCACCATAGCTGTTTGCCCTCAGCCCTCACAGTAGCCACGGCTTTATCTGGAAGGACGTTTGGCTGTTCAGTCTAATTAACATATTATGCTTTTATTATTATAGATGATCACAAAAAGAACTGATAGCCAGTATGAGTATACTTTAAAATATTTTTAAAGTACACTGATTAATATGTATTTTTTCAAAGCAGATAAAATTTTCTCTTGGTAATGGAAATAAAAAAAAATTTAAATAGCTATATATTTGTTCTATTCAGAATAATAAGATATATTTGATAAGTTGATCTTCATCTTTCATGAAATACTTTTTATAATTAGGAATTATAGTAAGCAGGATAAACATTAACCATAGTTATTTGGTCTCTTTGACCACAAATTCTATAAAAACCTCTTACTAAATAGTGCTTTAAATACACACTGTTAAAAACAATATTACATCAATGGTTACTGTCTGAATTTTTATAATATTTTCATTTTGCCTGACATTTAAAGTAAAAACTTTCATAAAAGGTAATGCTTTCTTTCCCTTCTGGGCAGAGAGAGACCTTGTATTTGCTGCAGAAGACAAAGAAGAGATATCCAGAGACATCCATGCTCTTAAATAAGGGACACTTACAATAATTTTAAAACATAGATTAAAAGCTGCTCACAACAGTGGCTGGCATGCATTTGTCATACGTGGAGAAACGTCTGGCAGAAACATCATAATGGACTAATCATTACCTTTTGTTAGCCAGTGGGATTTGAAATAATTCAAACTCATCTTGCCTCTTCTGCTTCTCTATCTTGGGTTTCTCATGGCAGAGGCTATTTTCAGTTGAGTGGTAGCATAGAATATTGGAATTCAGTTTTACTATAATATATTATTTCTAAATTAAATATGCATAAAGGGAATATATTCTGCTTTGAAAAGCCTACTATGGAATGTAAATATTTCAACTTTAAAAATATTGTTAACTCCTTTAGTGAATAATTTTTAAAAATCATGTTGCTAAATCCAATGGTCAAGTCTCAATTGTCATCTAATTGGATCTAGCAGCAACATTTGACATAGTTTATTCCCTCTCCCTGGTGAGTTTCCTTTACTTGCCTCCTATCACATGCTTCCTTGTAGCTCTTGTAGGATCTTCTGCCCACATACACCACTCCCTGCCCACCATCCCCCCCCCCTGCCCTGTCCCCAGATATAACAACTAAAACAACTAAATTATGAATAAACTTTAGCCAAGCAAAAAAGTGGTAAAGAGTGGTCAAGTCAGAGGCAAGTGTGTATTCAAAGACATAATGTTTAGAGCCATCAAGATGTGTTTAAGGAATAGAAATGTTGTTATGACTTGAACGTCCAGGGAAAGCAGAATTGGTAAACATGCAGCTAAAGAGGAAGACAGGACCTGGAAAAGGTCATGTTAAGAAATGTGAACTTTGTCATAAAGACAATACAATGTCATTTTAGAGAATTCAAAAAAAATCATAATCAGATATCCATTTTAGAAAGATTCCTTTGTCTTCATATTGGGGAAGGGGTTTGAGTGGATTAGAATTTGAGACCAGGAGATCAATCAATAGGCTCTTTCAGTAGTCCAGGCAAGAGATGGTCATCTCATAAAAGCAAGCACTTACACAGTGGTTGGTATTACCTGATTCTAAGTATTTTCATATAATGGCTCATTTAATCCTTACCACACTGAAGAAGGTACAGTTATTATCCCCTTTGTTCAGATCAGGAAACCGGGCATAGAAGTGTTACATAACATTCCTAAGGTTACACAATCAGTAAGATATGGAAAGACCACGCAGTCAACCTCCAAGTCTGTGCTCTGAAGCACATTTGCCATACTGAATGGGAGCAGTGGGGACACACAGCAAGAAAAAATGGCGATAGAATTTTCCAAGAAAGAAAACAACAAAGATAAAGCAACACAGTGACTTGTTGGCTTTAAAGGTTAAGGAAAGGGAGCGACCATGAACGATGTTCAGATTTCTGGCCTAGAAGATGTGGTTGATGATATTTCCAGAAAGAAAAAGCAAGATTTTACTGAGGAGCAGAAATGGGTGGCAGGGATGAAGAAAGATATGAGTTAGTTTAGAAAACTGAATTACACTTTCCTCTGGGCTTCCAAGTAGAACTGTCTTACCCATAAGTAATTGGATATATGGGTTGGAGTTCAGAAAAAGGACTGAGCTGAAATATGAATTTAGTGAAGATATACTTTCATCATTTCCTTTCTTAAAAATTGTCCTTCAGATTCCAGTTCAAACTTCTTCATAAGGCATTTAAACTTATTTCCTTTGCTTGCATTCTCTTTTCCTATCTCACCCAAATAGGAAATAATTTCTCTCTTCGTTTTCTTATAGCCCTGAATTTATATTTTTCTCAAATATTTATAATTTTTAAACTTGTAGCTTTCTATTCTATTTAAAAACAATCACTATATTCTATATTCTGTAAAAGTTTTTGTTATACAAATTTTATCTCTTCTATAAGCTGAGAGCAGAGACAAGAAAGTGAAATGTGATCTTGAAAATAAAATATTACTAAGGAAAAAATACCAGCTTGGTAGAAATGATGATATGGACGAGGAAAATGTTACTCTGGCATATTACCTGGCGATTAAGTGTCTATACCTCTGAGTAAATGAATGAATGAACAAAACAGCATACACTTTGTATGAATGTAGCTTACAAACAGGTATGTTGTAGATTACACAACTAAAGCCTACAAAATGGTGCATAGTTATTTATTGAAGTCTTCAAGTATGAATCTCATACTTCATTATAATTGTAAATCCAATGCTGTGGCTTTGTTAATTGTTCAACAACAAAAATATGGCACCTTCCCAGAAATAATGATCCTCTTATAACTGCATCCTTCCATGTATTAATGTTACAATTATATAAGTCACTGAAATTGCAGTAAATAGATAAGTGAAGCAGGAGGGAAGGAAAGCAGCAGATAAAGACATGAGCGAGAGTTATCCAGTTAGCTCCTGGGGCAGAAGTGAGGTATTTCTGTTTTCTCAGTTAAGTAAGAATAGCCATTAACAGAAAAATGAAGAGAAAGGAAGTGCTATCTAGGGTTTGAAGAGACTAAAAATTGTATGAAATGGTTGTATCAGACAGTTGCAGGGGAGAATTACTAAGGAAATAATACAGAAATGCTGGACAATGCTGATGGCCCCCAATGATCCTCAGCATTTAATGTTTAGGCTTCTACATTACCCACTCCCCTAGAATGTGGGCTAGACTTACCGACTCACTTCTAACAAATAGAATATAGGAACACTGATGAAATGTCACATCTGAGGTTAAGATATAAAAAGGCTGTGGCTTCCAATTTGGGCACTTGCTCTCTCCTGAATTGCTCACTCCAAGGGAAGGAAGCCAGCTCCTGTGCCTTGAGGCAGCCCCATGGAGTGGCTCATGTGATAAGGAAAGAAGGCATGCCAATAGTCCCATGAGTGACCTTGGAAAGCGAGTCCCATTACCTCCAATCCCACCAAGACAAGTCTTCAAGATGAGACCCCGGACTGGCCAACAACTTAACTGTAACCTCATGAGAAACCCCAAAACCCAAGGCTTACATCTAAGCTGCTGTGAGGTCAGTTTTGTTGTTTTCAGCTGCTAAATTTGGGGGGTAATTTGTTATGCATCAAAAGATAACAAATATAGCCCACTTAAGATTTGTGGTCATTCATTTAAAAAATAATGAGCGCAATTACAAGTGTAGAGTAAATAGTCAGCAGAGGTATATGGTTTTCTACTCATATGTGAAAGGGGGTGCAAGGAGACCAAGCAGAATGAAACAAAGATTTCCCCTAGAGAAGAAGTGGAAAGCATGGGGAAAGGGAGATGAACTAAAGATGCATTTTCAGCTTTCATGTATATGTTTCTGTATGATTTTTATATAATCACCTTATATTCATCCTTTTTGTGGGTACTTGAAAATAAAAGACAAAAGGAAGGCTTCTTTCTCATAATATACTAGAAAATACAGGCAAAATAGTTTATTGGGGAAGAGCCAAAACACGGTGTGATCTGCTTCTAGTCTTTGGAATTCTCATTGGGGCTGGAAGTATTTACTCTGGAACATTAACAAGGGCCAGGGAAAGCCCTCAGACCAAAGTTAAATGGCTGATGCCAGTCTTTAGCCCCTGGAGAAGTATTAGTATTCCCATTCCTAGTAAAAATCCAGATGGCCCCTCTGCTCAAGGTCCAGAGCTCTGTGGCTGCTGGCAAAGCATGCTGGGAGCTTTGGCATCTATCACCCAAGTATGTTTCACTTTTCTCTGTGTGAAACCCTTTAGAGGCACAAGGATAAAAGACATCATATCATTTAGGAGTCTACTACTGTTAAAACAGCTTCTCCAAGGCTTTCATTGACTTTGTCATTTTAGCCACATTATTCTCTGAGGCTGTTACTCTATGAAGGTGTAAATACAAATGGAGGAAATTATGATTTTTTTATTTTTTATTTATTTTTTATTTTTTATTCTCCATTCCTGTGCCTACATTTGATGGCAAATTCTTTCAGTGTGGGTCGTTTCCCTGGCAATTATTCACTGGGTTCTGCCTGCTGTTTAAAACCTGTGCCCCTTGACAGATAAGCAGAATTGTTTGTCAATTCACTGAAACGGATTCAAAATTAATGGTAAGTAATCTATTTATATAAATGCCTAAGCAACTATTTGACCATTTGACTGGTAGTTATGATGAACACTGACCACCAGGGAACAGACACTCAACACATAGGCATGGAAATATGGAACAAACTGATGAATCTCAGAAGGGAGGAGGGAGAAGGAGGGAAGAGATTAACCAAAGATTTTTATATGCATACTAGAGGTCTGGTGCACAGATTCATGCACTGGTGGGGTCCCTCAGCTTGGTCTGTGCCTTCTAGCAATCTGAGACCCTCGGGGGATGTCGGACTGCCAGTTTTGGCAGATCCCTGAGTGCCAGACCCAGGGATCCCATCAGTACACACACATTTGTGCATCAGGCCTCTAGGTGAATATAACCTGGTTGAATTTTTCACTCGTATTAGGCTGAAATCCTCTTTCAAGCATGAATCATATCTTCTGTATTCAACATGAAACATTCACTAAACATCTCTTATTTTGCCAGGCAAGTGATATGTTATTGTGTACTGTGTATATTATATTTGGCTATATCACTATCATATTGCTATTACCCCCCTTTTCTCTCTAGGCTGCTTTTTCCATCTACTTTTTCAAGCTTTTTTGGGATTCATATTTTGGGGGACAATTCCAAAATGTATTTGATTTTCATTCTAAAACACACTCAATGATTACAAATATCTGTAGAGAATTTGTTTAGTGTCACAAATGTTAATAAACAAAAATCACCAACTTAAACATTAGGTCAATGGCAACTATCTATACTTTATTCCTCAGGTTTAAGAGGAATTTTAAACTCTAGGTCTTCTCCTGTACTGACCTTCGCACGACTCTCCGCTGGGGGAAAACATTCCATTGTCATGGTAGCCATCTCTGCACTCACAGTGGTACCATCCAGGCAGGTTAATGCAGTTGGCCCGGCTGTCACACTGAACAAAGCCATCTGAGCACTCATCAATGTCTGTGTGGGAAAAGAAAACAAATACGGGCTGTTATACACTTGCTGCCTTTTATCTCAAATAAACAAAGGTATTCTATTAACATCTTAGCACCAGCAAATCCTAACTGCCGAGGAAATATAAGATTGTAAAAGTCCACTTGGTTATTGGAAGCATTACAGAAAGAATGAGTGGTATTAGTAAGAGGAAAGACATCTAGACAGCTTCTCTGTTGCAAAAATCCTCCTGCTGTATAAAATGGGAAGAAATTACCTGTGATGGTCATTAGTGCTGCTCAACAAATATTTCCAGCTCTTCTGGACACAGCAAGGATTGCCACGGGGCATCCCAAAGCTAATTAGGGAATGACATGTGTCCCTGAGAGGCAGAGCCTTGAAGATGCAGTGTATGATTCACACATATATTTTCCCCATCACAATGACCAGCAATGTTCTGATCATCCGCAGTTCCCGCGTGAGGATGGTGTGGGGCACCTTCCTCCTCTACTTAGAATGGACATGTAGCATAAGCAGGAAATCCACCTGCTTGCTCTACGCCATTGAGATTTTAGGGTCTTTTATTACTATCAGCATACCCTATTACAACCTAATGCATCATTCATCAACATATGGCAATAGCATTCATACATCAATATTCTTCATATTTCTGAAAATATATAGCCTTTATGTCCCTATTGAATGGGTTCCTCATATATTAGCTTATTCAACCCTCAAAAAAATAGCATATCAGACAAATGGGGGGAAAAATATGAGGTAAAGCAATTGTATGCGATTTAATGAAGATCACCTATATGTTCACAACTGCCTGCAAGTAGAACAGGCTAAAATTCGCAAAATTCCCTTCACGAAGAAAGGTATGTGTCTTGAGTCTCATTTATTTCTTCCAGTGATTTATTAACATTCACAGATATTAGGAACCCTTTATTCTCTTTGTTCTATTTGCTACTTAATGGGAACATCCAACCCCATCCAAGTCTCTTCCTTTGTTCATAGAGGGAAAATTTCCTGGAGTTGCCTTACAGAGTGTCCCCTTCCTCTCAAATATCTCTGGGGTCTGGGTGCTTTGGGTTTGACTCAGACCCTACGTGACCTGATGGCACGGCACCACTGTACTAGTAGCTGCGAAATAGTCCCCAGTCTTCTAGCCTTGTGCTGTGCCTGAGGACTGATTGCAAAGATAAGGTAGCATTTTCTTCTATGCTTCCCACATCTGCGTCATAGTTCCTGCTGCACAGTGATTTCCCTGATGTTGAAGGGAAATCCAGATGCTATTTAGAGGCCTTCCCCCAAGAAAGTCCACTCCAGCTCAGCACAATCTATCTCCTTCCTAGTCCAATCTCATGTAACTCCAAATTCTTGAAAGTATATATTCCTTTCATTTTCTTTTTAAAATTCCTCTTTTCCTGTGTACAATTTTGAAAGAGACAATTTTTTAAATAAATGAATAAAGTATTTCTTTTAATAGAAATAAGTCATCATTTAGTTCTGATAAGCCCAGAGTGCCCTCCCTAAAACAAGGCATGAACTGTTCTTTTAGGTTAGGTAATAGGCCAAAAAATAGAAATCTTATATTATTGCAAAAGTTTAACTTATTTCTGAACTATGGATGTTTTTGTTTCTGTGATTCCTCTTCTGAAGAGTCAGTTCCTCAAGTCAGTTGTTCCCACCATCAAAGTAATTCCTAGTGAGCAAATTAGCTAACCATTGACTTCCTAACACAAGTGGATTGCTTCCACTTACTAAGGCCTCAGAGGTTTTATAAAACAGCCTATTTGTATTTCAAAGGCCCCCCTAACTGATGAACCTCTGATTATAAATGGGACCAACATCCTTTGCTCATTCAGCTTTATATGGTCTTTTCTTCTAACGCAAATGATGCAGAAAATTGATTATGTCATTTCTTAAGTGCATGGACAAAAGAAAATAGGTTGGGATTTAAGTTTTAGAAGCGAGTTTCTTGGAAGAAGGCCAGAAGGGGCATGTTTAGAATATCTCATTTTAGAACAATTTGGTCATTAGTGTTGGTGTTTTGGAAGTAGCTGTTAATGGAACAGAGCTTTCTCCAATGAAGCAACTCTTGCACCTATATTTAGTCCTTTAATTTAGCCCCATCTTCTTGCCTGAACACAGTTGCAGAGTTAACTCAGATCCCATGATATATATACATATATATGTATATATATACACACATATATATGTATAAGTATATTCAATTTATTTTCTCTCACCACAATCACAATGCCTACTCCTATACTGTCTTATCTCTAATTTCTTCAAGTTCTTTTTATTTGCAATAATAGAGGCCTAGTGTACAAATTCATGCACTGGTGGGGTCCCTTGGCCTGGCCAGTGATAGAAGCCAATTGGGGCCATCTTGCCTAGTCCCTGTTGGGGCTTATGGGAGCTGGCTGGTCGGGGAGGAACCACAGAAGGTTGGCAGGCCAGCTGGGGAGGGTCCACGAGAGGGCTCCAGGGCATGTCCAATCCTTTCAGCCAGTGCCCAGCAGCAAGCTAACCTACTGGTCGGAGTGTTCGCCCCCTGGTGGTCAGTGTGTATCATAGCCAATTGGTCAAGCAGTCAACCAAATTGTAGACCAATGAGTCAGATACTTAGCATTTATGCTTTTATTATATAGAATAGCAACCTCCTTGATCTATAAACATGCTCATTAAAGATGAATAAAAATGTTTTGCATTATATTACTTGGTATTTTGAAGACTGAGGATACAATATGCATAGGCCATATGAACTTTCATAAACAGTTTGAGTATTATTCATTACTAAATAGTATTCAGAAGATGAATACATAAATATATGCATCACTTGTTAATTTACTATTTACTATTTACCGCATACCAATTATGGGCCAAGTACTCAGTGTGGGGAAACAATATGCACAAACCAGAAGTAATTTCTGCCCTCAATGGATTTATTATCTATCTAATTTATCCTTATTTTAAGAAAATTAAATTGATAAACATCTGAATTTACACCCAGGTAGCACAGTCTTTCCCAACATATTCTATATCTATCATCACTGGTATAGAATTAGGTAATAATAAGCAAATACTTTATTTTAATGGCTACATATTTATATCTCTGAATTATTTCTATTTATAGCAAGTGGTACTAATAGTACACTAGCAAAATTTAAATTTAAAAATGGAGAGGGATTACAGAAACAATATTAAGTAAATATTGGCATATGAATATGACAAAAACTATGAAAGGTTATACAAATGACTGGAGTTTAGAAAATGCCAAGATGTGGAACATTTCAGAAGGATTTTATGAATAGTTCTTTAGGTAGTGAAGGCCTTCATTTACTTAAAATACGATTCAATTTATAAAAGATACAGGTATACATGTGTTATAGTTCAAATTATATACTTGCTATCATAGAGGAGTAACAAAAAACTAGTAAAAATATATTTGCTTCATTTTATACTTTTATGATTCAGATATTTTTTATTTCTTTATGCAAACTTTTGACCATTTAAAATGCAAGTGTGCTTGAATTGCCAAAGCACACACTTCTCACCAGAAGGCAAGTTTGTTTGGCTCATGGATCATTTCCAAGTCAGAGATAAAACAAACAGCCTCACCTGCAAATTATTTGATATATTTAGTTGCTCTCTAAGTATTTAGCAAGTGAAGAATTGCAATCTGATCCACAATTTAAGATTTCAGTGTTTCCACACACAAGTGTGGATATTACTGAGTTATAACATATGGATGCAGACATATGCTTTATATATTATATAATAATGGAAAACAGTAAAAAAATTTTGAAGATTTTATTTTTTGGATCCTTCCTTTAGGTCAGGTAAAACCAAAATTTCTATTTGAGATAAATATACAGAGAACAACAGACCTAGGAGAGAAAAATCATTATTTTATTTCACATACGCACTATCAAGTTTGAACATATTATTAATATTTTCCAAACTGAATAAAAGTACTCAAAAATATAATAGAAAAGTGTATAAGCTCAGATGACTCAGTCTGTATTATAAGGATCTAAATTTTGTACTCCATAGGCACATTACATAAACAACTAAAAATAAGTTTTATGAAAAACTATAATTTCATTACGTATTATATCTTAGAGAGGAAACTAGTTCCCACTTCCTTAGGGGCAATTAGGACATTCCCAGTAGCTACATTTAGAACAGCCAGATAGTGATGATATTAAGATGCTGTCCCAAAGCACAGAGATCCTAAAATCCAAAAGCTATTTAGCCACCCAGCAACAGCCATCAATAGCAGTCAGACTCCAGGGATCCGAATAGACTTAGGTAATAAAATTGGAAGGCACTGTTGAGGATAGATTTTCTAGAAAGCACATATGTTTCGAGGCAATCATCAAAAACAAAACAACAAGCAGAAAAACAAGAAGGGCAAGTGTGTGAACACAAGAAGCTCACACACGTTTGCTTCCTTTGTTTCCCTCTGGTGTGAGGATGAAGACCTGCTGCAGTGGCACCCAGACTGCTGGCTTCAGAGGGAGCTACTGAAAACAGCTTTTGCCATAGCATTGAAAGGGTCACCTTAGAAAATGACAAAATACTTCTTTGTAAAATCAAGTGCATTTATAAAATGAGATATCTGAGTGATAATCTCTCATGCATAGTAAGTGATTTGTATCGTAACAACATAGTTAAAAATAAAAAGTGTGCAAATGTCTAGAGATATCCATACCTAAACTAGACCCTAATCATTAATTTAACCTGCACCCCTTTGCAGCTAAGAGAAAACTGATTATTTGCTACTCTATATGAATGAAAAGAAAATCCAATATTTTTTAAGTGAATACATTATTTTTAATGGCAAAGTCAAATAATGAGTACCATCTTTCATAAATAAAAACCTGGCATCATTTTTCATAAAAATAGTACTTGAACTATTTAGATCACTATCCTATGCCCTGGTAGTTAAATTATATTGATAAACAGCAGGCAACTAAACATCCTTAAAACAATTAATCAACTTGTGATTACCC